ATGTGTTGTGACAGTTGCGTAGACAACACATCAGTAATATGTTATATGTCGTCTGTACGTAAAGTTTTCATTATTATAATAAAACACGGTGTATGAATTAATATTACGACTATTGCATAGAGAATTATTATGATTATTATACAAATGACTTATTAATTAAAATCTTTCACGAAAATGTAACATAACGAAGGAGGTCCCCTTTGAAGAGCATGCGCTTTTTGCGGTCTAGAAAGTTAAGCACTTACATGTGTCTATTACGAAAACGTATATATGTAAAGCATTTTGTTTTACAGAGAAAAACGAATGTCGTGTGGTCAATAGTTTTTAACTAGGTGGGTGGCAAGGATAAAGATGGTCATTGGGTTCAAGCCATGCCGGAGGAACAATCATGCTTCCCCATATTAAACTCGTATTATCTCGTGTTTATAAAGAACAGATCAGGACCAGGATCAAACGATCCAGATTTTTGTATCGGACACTAGCATTAGCAATATCAGACTGAAAGAATAATTATGCTACAAAATGTAAAAAATGCCGATTTGCAAAGAAACAAAGAAATTTTTTTTTTTCGCGATAGAAATTGGAAAAAATAATTAAACTACAATTAAAACTATATCAAAGTAAGGAGTTTTTGGACACTTTTAAACGTATATATTTTTTAATGATATTATTATTTTTTCTAAAATTTCTATTACAATTGCAAATTGAAGTCCAATTTATGAGAAAAAAACACTGAAGAATATTTTGAAATATACGATCATTAAATCTTTTTGGACAAAGAACATCAGGATTTGGGACCAAAAATGTATTTATTAAACTTCAAACGAAAACTTCAAAAGTTGTTGTTGTTTTTATTACATATTTAAAATTAGAGTTTTCACTTTCATGCAGTTTAGTCATTGCAAAGCTTTATATTTTTTTTCGGTAAATATATTTTAATTCATGTCAGAAAAAATAAAGTTCCCCAAAGGATAATTCTTAAGGACGCGACTTTTGTTCTAACCCGTTTTTATTGTATGTAAAAACATTGTGCATTAATTCGTATTTATTCGTATCATTGGGTATAAAATTTTTTCAACTAAGTTGGTATATAGAATGTCAATGTGAATAGAAAAGAAAATGTTACCGACCTCAGGGACTTCTTTGACAGAAATTGAAGATAAGTAATTGTGAAAAATGTTTTTATGTCGCGTCCAGTCATGCTTTAGAACACATTTTTAACACCTTAAATGCTGATTTAAAGAAATACTTGACAGCTGTCTGAAGAAAAATGTTTTACTCTTTTAAAAATGACAGAACGTAAATCACTTTAATGTACTTTAGCAACTGTAAGTAATTAAAAAATGCCTTGTTTTATTATAGAAACGGGAAAGAATTGTTGTTGTGTGGTGTGTTTGTGTGTGTGTGTGTGTGGGGGGGGGGGGTGACAGGGAAGGATGAAGTAGAGTCCTGTCATAACCTCTTTCGAGTCCGCTTCATGGAAACTAACTTCTGTGCTACTTTCGGTATCGATTATCAGGCATCAAACATATTCAATCACATAAAACACTATAAAAATTCCCTACGTTTTGGCTGATTTGCCTACATAGAATTTAAATATGATTATCATTATTCAAAGTTTGACCCTTATAAGAATCATTGCAATTTCTTGCTCTTGCTTTTTTAAAAGCACATAATGCCTCAGAGTTCTTTAGGAATGTCAAGTCAAACATGAGTTTAATAATGTTTTAATTATGGATTAAGAGCATATTAGATGTTTAACAACTGAAGGAAGTAGCGCTGAACGTACAGTAATGTGTCGTAAAAACAAAGTAGTATTTTGATTTCCATACAAAAAAGGACCCACTATAATTTTAACAATTACCAACAAACCAAAAGAAGCAAAGATAGCCAATAATTAAATAACATTTTCTGAGGCATAATGTGCATTACAAAACGTTCCTCTTTCTACTATTTTTTGTGTGACAGTAAATGCTGTATCATTTTGTTCTAAGTTTGAGCTGGTAGGGAGAAAAACGTTAACGTATGCCCATTTTAGTTTATTTTTGTACGCATGTTCACACTTACTATGCAAATGAATTTAAGTGGAAAACTTGACAGGTGCATACTTGAGAAATGTAACAAACGTTTTAACCTAGATATAATAAGACAGAAAGATTCATTAGTAACGTGTCTAGATAACTTGAATATCGTGGAAAAATTGTGTAAGTATGTATGTGTCATATATTATATTTGTAATTATAAAGGCAGTATTTCGTCACGAGATATTCAATAACTGCGATAGCACGATAAATTTTGTCTTTAATTATACAGTGAAATTAACAAAAGACGTATAATTTCATCTGCAACTGAATCTACCAAAGAGACCGATACGGACCAATATCAGTCGGTACAGATTAAAAGTCAGTCAGCACAACCACGCCGTTTTTCTCTATTTTGCTATGTTATGTATTCAGTCATTTCATTAAAAAATCATAAACTTGTTAATGAATCGCGTAGTACAGATAAAAAGTTGGACAAGTCATTTAAAAGATATTGAACGTGCAAGGGTAACTGTATTGTAATACTTTTGAATGCGAAAAAAACAGAACAATTCAAAATTAACGTTGAGACATTTTATTGATTATATATCATTGGCAATAAAACAAAAAAATACAAATGCAACTGTGAAACACTCTGAAATAATCTCGCACAAATTTTTTTATTGAAAACATCGTGCATCAAAACACTCGCTTAATGTCTTTTTAATTATTTTTTAAAGTCATTATTTTATTCTTTTATTAAAATAAAAATAACTTTCTTAGAAGCACATCCCTTACATGTGACCTAGTGTTCCCCTACGAATAATTTTCCAACCTTATCATCGCAAATTGAATAAAAAATGGATTCCCGTTTTGGGTTCGTTGCCTTCTGGGGGCCTTTCAAGTATGACTGGATTGTGTCGGGGGCTGCATTCTGTGATCCTCGCCTTGCCTTATATTATATTTTTCTCTCTCAATTATTATGAGGTTTGTAGGTAGCTATGAAACTTGTTTTTATTGCAACTGTGCAATAATAATATTAAATGCTTAAAGTTCTGTATATTAAAACAAAAATACTTCGAAGCCTCTGATAGCACATTTGGTATGGATGCAGACAAGTTGCAAATTCGCACAATCTTGACTAGACTGTATACTGACATATGCCTATGTAAAATGTACGATGATTTTAATAAGAATAATGTACGATGATTTTAAGAAAAGTAAAAAAGATGCAAGATTCAAATAATAATTTACATGCTTTTTGTGACTAATGACTGTTTTTTACAGTATTTATCGCGATACTTCTACTTCGTTACCAAAGCAGTAAGGGACATTTTTGCAGAATTGATGTATTTTGTATTTGTACAAACTATAGTTAATGATAAAAAATTAATTGTTTTTGTCGTTTTTGAACAACTTGTGATGATAATTAATTATTTTTACTTTAAAGACCACATTTAAAGTTTTTCTATTAGTGATGAACACATCCATGTTTTTACCTTACTGAATACAAATCTTTTAAGTCACCGTATGAAAACAGATAGTGATAAAAATTAAATTATTTTACATTGCAGATCATAGTTGTTTTAGTAAAGTTGATTACCTTTGACATTTAATAGGACAAAGAGTTATTTGTGGTACACAGGAAATTTATAAATAGGCACATAACTTTTTTATTAGCATTACATTAATTGTGTATGCTCAATTAACTTAACGGCTTGATAAAATATGAATTAATGTAGGTATTTTAGTACTGTCAGCCACGATATCACGTCTGCTCGACCCGATTGCAAACAAACTGATCCTATAATTATTGAGAATTATGACCTTCTCCTGTGTCACATACAGAGTTTGGAATACTTTTTTATGTTAAAGGAACTCCATTGAAGAACAAAAGCATAAAAAACATACGATTTGATGTCTTCATTCATAGATCAAATTGTGCACGTAAAACAAAAAGATATGGAAAAATATTTAAAAAATATCCTTATCAATTGAAATTCGAATTTTTATGATATTTTTATATTTAGGCCCGATTCAGGGAAAAAGCGCTTTTATATTTAGTAACATTTTTCACAATAAGAATAAACATACTGAAACAAAACGGAGTTAGCAAACGATTTAAAAGTATGCCTACAAGTTATTGATGTAGACCTATATCAAATAGAACGTCAGTCTCGACAAAATATTTCCAGTCCCGTTATGTCCCAAAAATAAAATGAAATAATAAAAAAAAAAACAACAAAAAAACCCTCAGTGGAATTAGTTGAATCTACATTCTGAATTACAATGTACAAACGTTTTAAATTTTCTTAAAGAGGCAGGGTATTCGCAAGGAGTCATATTCGTAGAGCCGAAGTTGGCAAAATATATTTGGTAATATAACATGGCTATTATCATTATGTGTAATTAATTAACATTTGTTCACATTTGTTCATTAAATATGTTGCTATTGGAGATGTTATTTGTTGATACTCTAACTTTACAATTTCAAGCACCTTAAACATCATCCTCATCATCGTAATCGTAAAAAACAACAATTCAAACAAATCAAAATGTGGCCAATCAAAATGTGGTCGTAAAACGTAAATACTCCCATTCTGAAATAATGGTTATATATATTTAATTTTTACTTTTAAGGTCAAAATTATTTCAGATTTAGTCATATAACATAACATAACATTCAGTCATATGCCCATTCATCAAACTGAAGCTTTCGTGTGTCCACGGGTTTCTTTTATCCAAGTATGAAGGCCTATGTTATGATAAAGACCATATTTGGCCATTCAATTACAACCATTCAGACTTGACAAAGTAATTGCTCACCGGCCATTCTACAAGGGATATGATAATTTGTCACACCAATTGTGTTCATCGCAGTGACTCTTAGTTCTATGAGAAAATGACACACTCTTTTTGTGTAAAAATAAGATAATATAGTTAGAACTTCTGTGTAAAAAGAGATCACAAACAAAATCCTTTTGGTTTTTTCATCACTTTTATTGTTGATAATGAAATGTAAATACATTTCGTCATAGACTTGCCAAAACAAAGAAATTCGTTGGCAAGTAAAACAGTGTAAACAACAATAAAACAATAAATACACAAATACAAAATTGTCTGACTAAACAGTTGTACAAAAACTGTCATGACATCATAATGAGATGAGAATTGATTTTGATTTAATAAGTCAATATTTTAAGTCCCAAACCATCCGAATATATGAACAATGGGGTTTGAAACATAAGTGTTAATATTCCTTCGTCGATTTATTTTTGTTCGGATTTTCCCTTTTGGCTTAATCAGGCATATAACATTATTTAAATACATTGTTAACATGATAATGTATAGGCGGAATTTTAATTAACGATCACTCGGCCTTGTGAGGAAACTTTTGGTTAGCTGAACATGCTCAAATCTGCTAGTCTTTAATCTTATTGATGGATGAACAAACAGACACTCATATCAATGAAAATGTGAAATACATACATCAGACTGAATAATATATTACTATTATATTTATCACATAAACTACGACACAGAATTGTTATAAAGCCATTTAATAAAATCGATATTATACTAGTGTAATAACACATTGACATGACGTCATTTATATACAGACAAAGCGTTAATGCGCTAATGTTAGCGTTACACTATAAGCACATCACTGAAAAATAACTATTTTATTTTACTGCAAACCGTTCTTTTTTAAATATGTGATAAATAGAATACTATATTCCTGTAGATTCAAGACTAAATGTATTGCAATCGTTGAATAAAACAATATCATGCGAGCAATCTGCGAGTATAATATGATTTTAATTACTCGTTCAATAAATTTAGTATTAAATCTACACTCATTCAATATCCTCTTTACAGTCCATATAGCAGGTTAAATATATATATTTATATACATATAACAAGACAGTCTTACATTAATGTGAATCATCTTCAAAGTGTGTGCGTAGTCATACGCATAAGTCAACGATTCGTCTAATGTAAAAAATCGTGCTCTGATTTTGAATTATGTGTCCGTCGTAAAATTCAAACATATTTAGCATAATGCAGACGTAAGCAAAATCTAGTCACACACGTATTACGTTTCAAAGTTTCATAATTGTGATTCCTTGCTTCGATTCAACCATATATTATCATATAGATGCTTGTGACAAATAAACAAATTCACAAAGATCAATGACATTATTGAAATTATACGGGAAATGAATTTCAACAGCTTTATGAAGCACCCAATCAGATACGAAATAACGGAGTTTTGAGCTCTGTTGCGCACTTGGTACATAAAAATACTTCTATTCATATGATAACATTGAAACGGATCGTCATCTTCCAGTGTTCGCCTGTTTCTTTTTCATCGATTGTAAAAGTTTAAACAACATTTCTTTATTTAATGGCATAACAAGAACGTCTTTGTTTGACATTGCTTGAATATTCTTACCTCCTGCATCATTGGTCTTTTGACTAGCTAGCATGCTTCTAACTCGTGATAACATTGACCTAGCAATATCAGGTGACATTCGCATTTTCGCTTTATTGCCTTCATTTTGATTGTTATTTGAGTATTGCTGTTGAGTTGATGTTGGTGACATTCCAGTTACGATCTGCTGTATTCTCCTTGGTTTCTTATGTGAAGTTTGTTGGATTTGGTTATGAGTTGCTGGTGAACGATTATTAGTAAAAGTTGTTTGATCAACATTACTGTTTTGCAGCCAGTCATTATTTGAAATGTTATCTTTTTGTACTGATTTTCTATTACTTGTCATAGATGATGGACTATTTGATAAGATTTGTTCCGTAGAATCTATTGGTGCCCTGAATTGGTTTACATCCGTTGTTCTTTGTAGCTGGCTAACATCTATTGTTGGTTTCTCTATTTGACTTGTTTCCGTCGGTCTCACCTTAGAATCATCCGGATGATTTCCAGTTCTAGTTTTAGTATTAATATGGAGCCTTTGCTTTCTTCTTAGCATAATTTCTTTCATCTTTCTTATCAATTCTTTTCGCTTAGCCAATTTTTCTGGCGACATATCGTCAGTTTGCACACGCTTCCGTTCTGTTGTTGTAGACATCCGGCTAGCTAATGTTGGATTAGGTGAATGTTTGTTTAACTCAGTTGTAATTTCTTGCCGCTCAACGCCTTTTGAAATATGTATTTCACCTAAAGTTGGCTTTTCATAATTTTGATGTCTTTGCGAATGGTTCTTGTCTATGTTAGTTTCACCTGTTGCAGTATTTGATTGATTATGACGTTTCAAAACCTTCGCTGCAATATTACGTAAGGCAGCCATTACAGAATCGCTTGAAAGAGGCAATACATGAAAGTCCCTTCCATTACCATTTCCCGTTGAGGACAACTTTTCTGCCATACCTGCTGCAAGTCGATCTGCAAGTTTATCTATTGTTGTTTTCACCGCATTTGGTTGATATATATTTGATTCTGCAGCTATTTCTGTAGCAGGTGTCTGTATTGTTTCTACTGGTCGAACACTTGTGATCCTTGGATCTTGGACTATTCTCTCTTTTTTCACATAATTTGTTTTCATTTCCGCCAATGCAGGTTTATGCTGAAGAGATTGTTCGTAAGGATTTTGAGGTGGCGGATTTACATCTAAGATTGGTCGTGGTTGGGAAACTTGTTCTTGTCTGACTTTCTGTTGTTCTGCAGCCTTTTGTTTTTTCCGCTCTATGAGTAACTCTAAGATCCTTCTATATTTTTGTCTTTTCTCTTCGTTGTTTCTTTTTGTATGGGATTCTTTCGTGTTAGCACCATGCAATCCGGTCTTTTGTTGTTGTTGATGATGATCATTTATGTTTCCTTCTGTGACTTGCGATGCTCTTTCGTTGTTATATGGTTTTGTGTCGTAAATATCATTCTGTCTGGTTTGCAAAGACTTTTCACTTGGTGGGGACATTTGCTGCTTTTTATATTCGTTTGCCCGTTTTATTGACTGCAGCATTTGTGTCTTGAAATCGTGGATATATTTCGTGGTTTCTTTAGTCATTTCTGGTTGTACAGTTGAAGTTTGTTTCAAAACATCGTATTGTCCGCTGATTTTTGCTGTTGGTATTTCGTTATTCCTGTTTTTCTGTTGCATATTATTATTATTATTGTGAGCATTCTGTGGATCAACATAGATTGTATTTTTATTAAACGAATGTGGAACATTTACGGTTGATTGAGATGCACTTTTTTGTATTTGTTGATTACTGTATGTTTGCTTTGAAATTTGTGTAGGATTGAATGACGTTGATACTTCTGCTCCTTTATTCCTTTGTAGCAGGAGTGTTTGAAGCCGTTCCATCTTCTCTCGAAGTTTTTTCAGCTCATTCATTTGATACTGTATGATATCTGTTGTTGGTGCTGCTTGTGTTGTAGGTCGTCTTGTAGTCGTCGGCGCCTGTGTAGTTGTTGTTGTTGTAGTAGTAGTAGTACGCTGTGTAGTCGTGGTGGGTGGCTCAGGTGCTGCAGTAGGATTCCAAAAAGGTTGGTAAGGCATATTCATGGGTTGACCCTGTTGCATAAATTGAGGGAAATAATTTGTTGGAGAATGAAGAGCTGCATTCAAATGATCGTTTGCAAATGACTGTGAGGTATCATGTGTTTGCCAACCTCCTTGTGTTTGCGACATTGCATTTGAGTGCCAGTTACTTTGCGATTGTTGTTCAATTTGTAACGGTAATGCCTGTTGAGATTGCCAACCGCCTTGTATTGCTGCATCCTGTTGTGATTGCCAATCGCCTTGTAAAGGTGAATTCTGTTGAGATTGCCATCCGTTTTGCGATTGTGCTACCTGTTGTGATGATTGCCAATCGGCTTGTAATTGCGATCCTTGTGATTGCCAGCCAGTTTGGACATGTGAGTCTTTAACCTGACCAACATTTTGCGAAACCTGAGGTTGATAATCTGGTGAATTTGGGCCTCCAAAAGCTTGATTTCTAAGTTCAACATCGTGTGCAATATAGTGGTCTTGACCGAAATACTGTTCCGGAGAGTGTAACCCCGTATTTAAGTGATGACTGTCATTTGAAACCACTGTGTGTTGTAATGTTTCCTGCTTCCGTATCTGATTAGCTTTCAGCAAACTTTCTGGTACGATATTCGGTTCCTTTTTGCTTCCACCAACCTGATAGTTTGTAAATCTCTCAAAAACAACAGGGGGCTTAAAATTATTTCGTTTTTTGTCTTTAAACAAGTTAACTGGCTTATCTTGCAGGCTTTGGGCATTTTCCTGTCTACTTAATTTTAAATGTTGATCGCGCCATGGTGCAATACTATGAGATTTAGTCTTCTTTTCTGTTTGGTGTGTAGAAGTGTCTACCACGGGCAGCTTTGTTGTCTTCATGGGCATTGCTTTTTGATTAAAAAAATTATGCTGTTGTTGTTGTTGATTATTATTATTATTATTATGTTGATTGTATGTGTTACTATTTGAATCCATGTTTGACATCTGCCCGTACCGGGAAACTGACCCGGTGTTATAAACATTTTGGTTAGGATTGCTATTACGGAAACCCGTTTGTGATTCACTTCCACGAAATATATTGGTTTCAGGCACATAGGCGGTACCTAATTGCTCTGGAGAATATGATTGTTTCGCTTTGAGTGTATAACGATCCTGGGATATTTGCTGCATACTAGTTTGAGACTGTGGCTGGTATCGAGGATTTGAGGATAAAGAACTATCTTGCTGTAAGTCAATTGTTCCCGCTGAAAAATGACGATTGCCTTGTGTCTTTTTCTGCAAATGATTCATATTTTGGGAAACTTCATTGAAATGCGTCCCTCTGTTGTTATTCCTGTCTTTAATTTGACTTACAAACTTTCCTCTTGGAGAAACACTCGGTATTATACCATATTCATTAATCAAATCCATACCAAAATTTTGAGTTGGTTGCGCTGCTGATTCGAGTTGAGGTGGAGCACCCAGCATTTCATTTCCAAAGCTGCTGAATAAATCCGGTGTTTTTTCAGCCGAGAGTGCACTTTTTGCAACCTTATGAATGTTTACTGTTGAATCAGTAGACCTTTGGTTGAATTTATCTAACTTTGACGTTGTAGGCGGAGTGGCAACTTGTTGTGCACGTACTGTGGTAAAATCTGCAGCCGCAATAAGGCGGCTAGAGCCAACATTTGCATATTTCTGTAAAGGATCATGGCCAGGTTGTCTATTTTTGTTGTTCAGAGCATCAATTTGTTCAAAAGTCAACCTCGGAGGTCGAGGAATTTTAAAAGGCCCACTTTGCCTTTTTGGCAGAATTGATGGTTTTATTTCCTTTACTTCTGGTAAAATTTTTACAGTTGTAGTTGCTACTTTTTCTGGAACTATAGCAACAGCAGGTTGCGCCTTAGGTTGAACAGCGATATCCGTTTGACGATTCTGAGACGAATCAAGAGAATTAGATCGAAAAACACTCGCCGGAACAATTGCTTGTGTCTTTGGCGCAACTGCCTGTGCTGGAACTGACCCTTGCGCATCTGGGTAGCGGTTGTATTGCGATCGACGCCTCGAGCCTTCATCGAAATCAGTGGCAGGTCTCCTGAAACGTCATTGATCATGTTGAGTGATTATTAAACAAATAACAAAAAAGAACAGATCAAAAGGAAAAAAAAGACAAATGTAAAAAATATATATTTAACACGAAGACATAATTCAGGTTTCCATCTAACGAAAATTTATAAAAAATATTTCAGCATTATAAGACAATTTCTTTGATTTTCACAGAATTGCATTTTATTTGTTTAATATTGCATAATTGTATAAGTCTTAAGAATATATATCGTTTGTTTTATAAAATTGTATTGCTGTTGATTCTATATTACTTAATATACTGTGTATTGAGTATGTTTAAAAAAATTAAGTGTTTTATCATATAAACAACACGTGTTATTCACTCACATAACATTTGATAGATACTGGCTCTATTTATTATAACAAATAAACACAAATATATAAAATTTATTTTTGATTTGATGTTGATAGTTTTACCTTTGCCTTGTAAATTGTCTGTTTGAGGGTTGTGTATTTTTGGTGATCACCTTCGCTTTCGTTATTTGAACGACCTTTGCAGCAGTGGTTGAAGGTGCTCGGGTTGTTGGCGTGGGAGTTGTTGTGGTTGGCGGAGGAGGTGGCGGCCTGGTTGTCGGCGCGACAGTTGTTGTCCACCACACAGTTGTTGGTATTGGTGTGGTAGGGGGCACCGGAGTTGTGGGTATCTCCCATCCTTTTATTGTTATATCTGCGCAGTTGATGTAAGTTTCTTGATGACCGCAGCCGAGACAACCAACACCATGCTCATCGCGACCAAATGTGTTACCTGAGGTAAGAAAATATTATTGCAATTAAATAATTCGTGAGTTTACATTGAAAGTTTATACATGTCAGTATTCTTATTGGAAAAAGTTCGTAGAATTGGAATTTAACATTGCATCATTAAAACAACGTTTTTTTTTATGCCAAAATGCTAATTAGATCTAATAATTTTTATAATTCGGAAATTTTTACAATATACAATAGATTGTGTTGTAGAACCAAATCAGTTGTGATAGTCGCGCATTCCCTATCAATTCTTTAGTCTTAAAGAATTATGTTTGGTTTAATAATTTATAGTTTTGGTTTAATAATTTGATTTATATTTTTTCTGTATTTGTTCACAATTAAGTTGACTTAATAAACATACAACGTTTATCATCACTTACACTTTGTTTTAGAGGAAATTTGTGTCAGGGAATCTTTCAAGTGATAGCTTTATTTAAAAAAGTAAAATATATGTTATGGTCCAAGAACCATCAGTCACTGATTCTATTGTGTTTTTTGGTTGGGTTTTACTTCGCACCATCGCAGTAAGCAGTATATGGCGACTTTTCAGCTTTAGTGGTGGAGGAAAACCTCAGATGCCATTCCGTGCATTATTGATTACAGACACGAACGGACACCTGAGTAGAACCCACCGACGTTCATTAAGCGAGCTGTTTAGCTTCCTCACGTAAAAGAATCACAAATTCCATTTCGGGATTCTAACCCACAGTGGTGAGTGGCAAGTTGTTTGAAGACTTAACCACTCGGCTAAGGATATCCCCCACAAATCTAAAGGGTTAAGTATCATGATAAATGACTTTTTCCAGATTGAAAAAAGTCCAGTGATTTTTTTCACTTTGTATGTGAAGACGATGTTTAGTTGCTGTTGATGACATTTAGATAGTTATTGATCTTTAAAAACTTAAAAATAAAGAAAAACAGGAAAATGGCAAACAATGTCATAATGTATATTTTACTGTTTAATGTAAAGTTATTCAATTTACAAGTAAGTTATAATTTAAGACATTTGTTACTATCTGACAAATATATTCATGACAGTGCGTGTAATTTGTAAGAAATAAACTAATATATACAATAATAATAGAACATTATCCACGTCAGCAAACTTTGTCACGTTTATTATGATTTTATTGTAATTTTATTACACTTTTATATCATTTTTATTTCATATTTATTTCCCCACTTTCATACCAAGTGTTGTGACCAATGTATTTTTTTGTATATATATATCCTGTTCAAAACGTTATATCTATACATAATACAATCATCAGCGTAATGTTAACGTAACTATATCTATATGTTAATATTAAGCAAAATGTTTTTGTTTATTGTTTTTAAAAGCCAATTATGCCATGGAAATGATTTAAAGTTAATTCTCAAAGTTTTTCTTTTTAGTCTTTGGTGCTCTATTTAAGTTTCCAAAAAGTGACTCATCATATGAAACATATCTTGCTTTTATTGCTTTTTTTGCAATAAGAGTAATGTTATAGTGATCTATAGCTAGTATTTTATATGGAAGTCAAAATACTACTTTGTTTACTTTTTGCTTCTTTTATGACAAATAATTACAAGCCAATCGCTACTTTCATTAGATGATAAGTATCTAACATGCTCTTAAACAATTATTTACACGTTATGAAATTTATGTTTGCTGTTCCTTAAGAAAGGACATTTTATTCGAATCTGAGAGATAATGTGCTATGTATACGTTATGAAAATGTAAGCGTTATGTTATCGTTAATATTTTTATACTTAATGCAATTTCATAAAGCACATTGTTTTCCCACATTTTTTTTAAACGCTTTATTAAACTTTTTTTTAAAACGCTTTATTTTAAACGCTATGACATTATGTAATTGTCGACGTGATTTAATCGTAAGTATTTCAATACGTAATGATCTCATTACCAATTGTTTTTAAACATTAAGTAGAAAAGAAATACATTTGTATAAAGTATAAGAAATCGTAAATTGGTTTTTATTGCTTTGATATTGACAGCGTGGCACAATTGCCATTCAATTTATGATTTGCAATATCACATACATGTATATTGAACAAGGGAATTTGAAGTAAATGTTAAATGCAGAGAACTATCTCAACATTGCGTTGAATGCATTTACTAAGGAATCACACAATGTTTTTATGTGTTTTAAAATTTTTAAAGTTTAAAAATGTTTTATGTTTTACTGCAAAGCTCAATTGGATATGTTTAACATTAGACACTTGATGAAAAAAACTATGAATGTCAAGTAATTGATATAGCAGTTGAAAAGCTTTAAACTAGAGTAAGCTTTTCATTACGTTGAGCAATAAAGGCGGGAAAATATTTAGGTCAACGGTGCAGTCTCTGCAAAAGGATATAAAGAAACAATAATACTCATTACAGTCGGTCAATATGTTCGTTAATTATCGATCACTAGTATAGACTTTATGGCATCACAGGGCTTCACACGTGACAGTAAGAGAAAAACGATACCCCACACAGGAATGAAAATGTTTCGCTCGTTAGGCCTTTGATTACGATTTAACACTATTTAACACTTAATCTATTGAAATTATGACATGGATTTGCCCTGCTTTGAATTCGGAACAGGCCATGTGAAGTTTAAGGGATGTCAAAATCAAAATATTTAAAATGAGTTATAAAATTAATGAAATGAAAAACTAAAATTGAAATCATAAAGATGAAATCGGTATTTCGTAACATTGAAATCATGAACAAAAAATTGTGAATTCATGAACATGAAATCTTGAATTCATGAAGTTGAAATCATGAGTTCGTGAAATTGAAATCATGAATTCTTAAAGTTGAAATGTCACAACAGGTCTTTCGTACTTTCGTAACCTGAATACACTACTCAATTGATTTACGACACGACATTGCTCATTAACACTTGTCGTTTCATGTTAACACTTGACTGTTGCAAAAATTACAAAATTGTATGCTCTTTGTAGTTTGACAAGCGATTTGTTGGCATTTATAAGGGTCAGTCGTCGAGTAACTATTTAGTTTTTTGTTTTCTTTGAGACATAATACATTGTCGGACCATTTTTTTTCTCTTTCAATTATGTCTAAATGAATCATTTTTCTTTCATATCGTTTTTCTGTTGTTGTTTTTGTCTATGTAATTATGTACGCTTTTCTTCTTCAATTGGATCAGACTTTGTGTTTTGAGGTTATTTGTAGTTGGCTATCTATTTCTGTTCCTGTTTTTGTTGTTTTTCGAGATTAGTGTTCTCAAATTGTATTTTACTTGCAAGTGTTAACTGTTAAATGAAAAAATATGTGTAGTAAATAATCTTTGAAGTGTTTGCCTGATAGTTCGGGTATATGCTTCTTAATCAAATGTTCGTTGGGTACGATCACTGACAAGGGTGTCGGCCTTGTTTCTTCACTGGACTTTGCACAATCATGCACTTGTAAGTTCGAAATAAGCGGGCTCGTGATTGGTTCCAATAAGCAATAAGACATAGTTTTAAATACTGTATAACGCTTTAAATTAGCGATGTCAACAGTTCGGTTTTTTTTTACCTAAACGTGCATTTTTCTTACTGTAATACTGTAATCTAGTAAAATCTAAACAAAGTAGTACTTGGACTTCCATACTTAAATTGTACTAATTATCAGGAGTCAACAGAAGCAAAAGAAAGGCTAATAAGTATTTCTCAAGGAAACACCAAAAGGACACCAACAAATAAAAAATAAAACCATATCTGGGGCAGATTGTATAACGTTCGTTTTGAAGATGATTTACTTCTGTAAAAATAATCGTTTACATTCCATGACCAATAAATTGCTTTGATGATTTTCAAGTGATGCACTGTCTTATTTTGTATGTATTTTGTAGTGCCCTGATTTCATTCAAGCTGCTTTGCGCCCCTAGTGTAATTTCTAACAAGTGAAAGACATACTCTTTTCTTCGAAGCACACATTTTCTAAAAAGCCAAAGCCATATTTATTGATAAAGTTTCAAGTGAAATTATCTCTTTACAACAAGAATATTGATTCTTCCCAAAGTCCTAGATTTAGACCAACAGCCCCTTCAAGAACAAAGGGTGATGTTCAGCAGAGAATGCAGTATACTTTTTTTTTCGTCCTATCCTGAAACTGAAGTGATTTTTATTCTCTTATTCTTTTTTTTCTATTACACCTAATTAGCACAGTCAGAGGTTGTACAATTGTTTTGTCGTTTCTTCAACTTAAATGTTTTTCCCTGTATTTTACACCAAATTAACACGAACATAAGAATACAAGTAGAAAATTGTTGTTGAAAAGGAACACAAAACTATTATACAACTGTCATTACACAGACAAAAATGTTAAATTGTTTCTATTTATAAATGTTGTTAAGGTTTACCTGTAACATATTTCCACTGCAACACGCACCTGTCGCAATAAACCCCGTCGGGTACCTCTACAGTTAACGGAATAATTCCAGCACGGTCCACGTAATATGCGAATTGGTCACCTTGGGTTCGACCTTCACTTATCTTTAACAAATGTTTATCAAAACATGCCTTCGTCTCAGCAGTTCCATTTGTAACACAAAGATGAAACTCAAAATATCCACCTTGGTCAGAATTTAGTAAAATTTTAACATATATATTCCTTTGACCTTTGTCTATGACGTCAGCAATGGCGCCAGTGGCATATTTCCCGCCAGATTCATGTTTTCGTGGTCCGTTAAATGGATCTCCGCACAATCCGCATTTTCCATTGTTTTGTTTCATTCTCTGAAACAGTGAAATATATAATATTAATACAAAAGACAAATAAGAGAGAGAAACGTCCAAAGAGCAAAGTCGGACAACAGCAAATTACGTAAGACAGCCTGAGAGGCATCAAGTATGGCACTGACCAGAATTGGGGCATAAGACGGTGTGGACAGAGGAAGGCATAATTGGTGGGGGGCATTTCATAAACAATTGCAATTAACAAAAAGATAAGGTGAATTTTGAATGCCAATACGGTAATAAAATAAAAAGAGTTGTTATCAAGTTTATTTGAATCTGTCAATGACTTTAACAGTGTTGCCACAAAAGGCTTTTATAAAAAGAATGTACCAATTCAAGAAATGTCTGTACATGCATTAAGTTATATGTTAAAAATCTAAATGAACATATGATGTGTTTGTCAGATTTCATTCTTGTAGAAAGGTTTTAGAAATTATAACTCTTCTTCTCCATTGCAATAAGTACAGTGCGAATTTATTACATTATTCCATTTTGTCCACCCTTACCACGTAAAAAATCTTTAATAGATTTAACCATCTTAAAATCGGGACAAAACCATTTATCATTTTTGACAAAATTTCAAATAAGAAATGACTAAGATCTGTTGCCGCCTGCAGACCAAAGGTTAATATATATGATTGCAATGTAGGAGCATATTTGTTATTTTGATTTCTAAATACCAAGACGAAACTTGGTCGTATATCAGTGAAGAAAATTGTGGTTAAAAAGCAATTTTTCTAAAACGACAAAAACACGTGAGTATTAATTATTAATTATACACTGTCTGACAAAATCTGTCATTTACCTTGAGGCCTTATTGATATACAGAACATGTCCGAATCTAGCTAAGGTAAGTTATAATACATTATAAATGCAAGGTAAGTATATAAAGTAATAACATTACATACACTTAACACAATTTGTGTTCTTTATGAGAAAAAATATGCTAATATGACGTTATGTTGCATGAAGACCAAGTTTATCGTAACATAATGGTAAAACGCTACACTACAATTAACAGTAAACTCCGCTTATAACGAAACGCTTATATCGATACACCGCTTATAACGGTGCTATTACCGCGGTTTCAAATTAGTTGCCTCTCGGATATAACGATATCCGTGTATAACGGTTATAATTCGGCAGATGGCGGAGTTGACTGTATATTTATATTATATATTATTGAAAGTCTTAAACTTTAATAATATTTTATACTTAGTAAATATAACTTACATTATTTTAAATTCTAATTTGTTATTATGAAAATGAAAGGCTATTCTGATAAATGAAATGCACATCTATTAGCTATATGAAAATCATTAAAGATGTATTGACTTCTGTTGACACTGAATCTTAATGATATTATAAATAATGACGCGTTAAAATTTGACCTTTAGAAACAATACCTGATTTATTGTCCTAATATATAAACACATTTATTACCTTTTGAGAATTATATAAAGATAAAATTTTGTTTACGATCTTAGTAAATGTTTTAAAGTGAATTGATATATAATGGAAGGTCTTTAATACCTGAAATAATTATGTTGATATTATTTAGTATCATGCGTGAGAATGTATGTGTGTAGTTTATACTTAATGAGGGTCCATCCGCCCTTTTGGACACAAATGCAGCTTTCGCTGTCGATTACGGACCCCGGACATGTCACCAGTCATACCTTTAAAGAGTTACTTCTGAAGCATAAAGTGGTGATAATTTACCTCCATGCAATTTCCACGGAGTATTAGCCAAAGATATGAATTTTGAGCCAAAAGTAAGTCACTTTACGTCGGTCAGTGCATATCTTTGGCTAATACTCCAAACCATGAAACAAGTAAAATGGTTTCCTGCGGTGAACATTTTAAATGATAAAAAGATATTTCATTGAACTATTTTCAACATTGTTTGTTGGGGAGGGGGGAATAAATAAACGTTTGTATCAGAAATATAGTTGACAATAATCGATCAATATAGAACTGGTGACCGTTGAAGACCGGAGAAGGTTCGAACTATCTCCTTTTAAGGAAATGATTAAATAGGCCTACCATTATATGAATAATTCCGAGCAAACAAATAATAAAGTAAACACACAAGTTTACGCAGAAAATATCTCTATTCATTATGGCAGATGCCACTACGAATATTTTAATTTTGTAGATTTTCAGTATAAACCCATACACACTTTCAATATGATCTACGTAAATAACCGAGGTATATCGAGTGAAAAAATATGAGTTGGTCGCCTATGCTAAAGCAATACAAAATAGGCCGTTTTTAAACCGCTTGTTTGTTGTGATTACATGTCTGATTTTAAAATGTATTACAGCAATAGAAAGCTCTGGATCTTGGCTTCATCACAGTATAAACTTCAACACATCTTTTTACTCCAAAGTATTTAAATTTACTGTTAAACCTACCATATATCAGACCATTTTACATACGATTTATACAGTGAGATATGCAACTCGTTAACTTTACTCGAAATACTACTGATAGGAATAGCAGGTCGTCTGCTAGTTCTGAAAGTGTTTATCGGTGTTAAACAATTTATTGTTTGTAAAATTTGAGATAGATTTTAAAGATACATTGATCATTTTCAAAAACATCATTCATGTTTTTCCATCTTAAACAGTAAAATAATTATAGAAAATGTGAAATATCACGTAATAGTTTTTTGTCCTTAATTAGGTGTAATTCGGACTAATTCCCTAGAGGTAAATCCGTAACGTATCGACAAACGGTATTTAGCTAGGTTTTCGAAAAGGTCAATTAACCAATCATGTACGGTTTACAGATCACATGCTCCTCCATGTACCGAAAACAGGTCACGTGCTCCTCCATGCCTCAAAAGTTAAACGCGTACCAATACCCTGCGGTCTCCAGACCGCAGGGAGTAATAATATATCGAAGTCCTTATGACAATTCTAACTACCTTCTCGAAGTGTGATAAAAGACTGTCTTTGTAAAGAAAAAAAATGAGTTCAACATAAGCACATTAAAGTGAATTGATCTATAATAAAAAAATCTGTAATTTCATAAATGATTATGTTGATAATGTTTAGTATCATACGTGAAAACAAGCCACGAATTGTATATGGATGGTGTTGGTAAATATTAGATACATGATCCGATATGACAATATTTAGCGGCTAATAAAGTGTTCTAGAACAAAATATTATTTTTTCATCATATAGAAATCTATCAACATTTTGTTTTCCATAAACATTTCATAAAAATATTAAAATGATACATTTCTATTGTTTTTATCAATATTTGAAATAGTTCTGAATAATAGGCCCATTGTAGACCAATCCACTTTAACGGCGGCATTTTGAAGGTTATTGTTTAATGAAACTAACAACATCACCCCATGTCGTTTGAGAATTCTTTTTGTTATAAAAAGTTAAATTTATTGACAATTAAAATCATATAAAAAATAATATTTTAATAAACTCATTGTTAACTTTTTTTTATGTTTGCATTTTTAAAGGCGCCAAATTATTGCTTTATTGTATAAAAACTTTCTTCCTGCTTTGCTACTTGTTGTTTGATTTCTTTTGTTATAGAAAGACAAATTTATTAGCGGTTAAAGTCATATAAAAAAGAGTTATGTTTCCTTATTCGTTTCCTTTGTATTCCATTTTTACTTTTTTCATAAAGTCAGATTAAAGAGAGATTGTTCTTTATAACCATTTTTCTTCCCCTTTCAATTCGTTTTGTTTTCCATTTGTTTTCGTTTTATCCCTATCTTTTCGTTTCTTATTTTGCGACAGAAAGAAAAAATTATAATTGATTCGTCATTAAGAAATATTGTAAAACATTGTGTTTTGTCTTTTTTTCATATCATTTCTATATTATATTTCATTTACTGATTGTGTTCATCAATTTCGTAATCAAATATAATTTACTTTTAATTTTTTATGTTTAACTCACTTTATTTTACTGTATTATTTACTTATAACAAATCAAATATCTTTTGTATTCAGTCATATTTATTATATTCTTCTTATTTTTCAGATTAATTATTCGAATGTTATTTGTTTGCACTCATTTTTTCTCAACCTGTTTAGCAAAGATTACTTATTTAAATATCATTAAATTTTCCCATAGTCTTAGTTTTATTTGACATCAGGTACAAATACATTTATTTTCACAAATACCATAGATAAAGTTATTATTTTTTCATTAATATCATAGAAAAATATATATGTCTTTATTTATATAATGTACACATGTTTCAACTGATATCAGTTTTCACTTAAACAAGTTTTCACTATTTTGGAAAAACTCATTTAACTCATTAATATCACGATCAAATGTATTCTTGTCAGAAATAAATTGTTTTCGCTAATTTCATCAAAAATATATTTTGTTATTATTAATTTCGTGAATAAATTTATTCAGTTTCACTAATATCATGAATCAATGTATTTATTGTTTCTAATTTTATGGATAAATTTATTCGGTTTAATTTATATCATGGACAAATGTTTTGTTTTCACTGATATTTCAATCAACTGTCCATAATTTGTATCTTTTGACACGTCAATTCGTTCCCAGTAGTGGTGTCATAATGTATGTCATAATTCACCTGATATGTACATGTTCATGCCGCAATATAAATGTCATAAACGCCGATTGCCCTAAATACATGATAGTAAATTTTATTACTTTTTTATTCAACAAATACAAATTAATTATCATTTATTCGGATAATTTAAATGCGGTTTATCTAATTAAGGACATTTTTTTGTATGGCAGTCATATGATTTTAATTCTTTTTGTATAATGCTTTTATTAAATTTTGTTCAATTTATGGATTTCATAAAATGACAAGCTATCAATATAAACACAATTATAAATGCATTATTTCTTATTAGATTCAGCACGACAGAGGTTAATTAGATTGATAAATTTGTTTTAGGAGGAATTTCTTTTGATATAAAACACCTTTTATGGATATTTTATACCGCCAAAAAGGTTACTGTCATGCAAAAAC